CTCAGGTCATCTTAGGTCATAAACGGTCACCAGCAGTTTTTTTTTTGCTATAACTTTTGAACCGACGTGCTAGAGCGATGCAAACACGTCAAATGTAGGTATTCAGCTCCACGAAACGGATCGACTGATATGCAACATAACTCTTTCCGGTCAGGTCATGACCTTGACCTGAGGTCAAATTTCGGAAATGATCTTTCAAGGTCAACGAATAGTTCATTCGACGCGTCTTGACGAGAGGAACACGATGCAGTTGATGCACCCCCCCTAAGGTTTTTCGCGAATAACTCGCGTAAAAAGCGGCCGATCGCGACGAAACTTTCAGTACCCTCGCACTGATCAATTTTACACGTTCCCTGAAAATTTCATGACCCTGACCAGGGCTGCGGAGTCGGAGTCGGAGTCGGAGTCGGAGTCGGTCGGAGTCGACAGTTGTGACCGGAGTCGGAGTCGGAGTCGGAGTCGATTTTAGAAACCCGAGCCGGAGTCGGAGTCGGAGTCACCGAAAATCTGTCGACTCCGCAGCTCTGCTAGGTCTGCGGAGTCGGAGTCGGGAGTTGGAGTCGGTCGGAGTCGACAATTCTGCCCGGAGTCGGAGTCGGAGTCGGAGCTGGTTTTTGAAAGCCGGAGTCGGAGTCGGAGTCGGAGTCGCCGAAAATCCATCGCCTCCGCAGCCCTGACCCTGACCCCAATGACCTTTGACCTGTGACCTCTTTTCCGTGACCATGTTTGGCCGAAATCGCGATTCGGCGTATGTCGGCTCGCATTAGCCGCGCGTTTGCAAGCTTTTCGTGGTTTCAAACGTTCAAACATGTGATTTGATGTTGCTCCCATACATTAGGGTGGGTCTCAAGGTCACCTGAAGGTCAGGTCAGGTCATTGACCTTTGGTGACCTCGGGTGACCTCGGTTCACTTTTTTGAGTTTTACATGTTTCTAGGGTAGTTTTTGGAGCTGAATTCGAATTTAGCAACCATTTGAACATTTACGAAGTAGTTTTGGTGCCTTCGTAACATGTTACGAAGCTGTCAGAGGCGGTTGACACGTATTACGAATTCCCGTCACAACCCCTACCGGTTGACCTGACCTGACCTGACCCGACCTGGTCTAAATGCTTAAAAACATCATCTCTGATCAAAACTAACGCGATATTCGTGATCAGCACCCCGGAAAACCACATATCAGCCACACTTTACGACTTTCTAACAGGTCCCGATTTTCCCGGTTTTCGGGTCATTGACCTGACCTGGAAGGTCACCCGATGACCTAGGACCTTAAAATTGGGTATCATTGGCTTCCTCTCGTGACGGGCAACACGCTCGTTTTTTCCGCGAAGCTCTAGCTCGATCAGGGGCCAAACGCGAGGGGGGGGGGTCGTACCAACCCCACGCCCCTTGTGCCGTCAAAGGACGCAAAATGGCCTGTGCCGGCGAGGGTTAAATCAAAAGTTATTACCGAAAACTTTTTTTTCGTGGAAATGGCTATTTTTAGAGTTTTTGCCCTCTGGAGGCTAACCCGTTGACCTGAGGTCAAATCTGAGAACATTGCTCAGAAAGGTCTGTAAAAGGGCTATCGAATGCGCTTTTCTGCAGCGCTGTAGGTCTATTGCTTCCCGAGTTGGCAGTTTTCAAAATTGTTGAAATGGACTACATTTTACCTACATGATGACCTCTGGCGACCTGACCTTTGACCTGACCAAAAATGACCGAAGTGTTTCCGTCATCATTTTTGACGCTCTTTCGAATGCCCCTTACCGCGTGTCGCTATAGCGACTATACGTGGCCCAGGAGCCGAGTTAGACGGGAGGGTGTTCAGACACCCCCCGGCCCAGCGCGGAAGTCGCAGAGCACCGGCCCGGCGCGGGTTTAACCTTCCAGGCGGTGGGGGGCATTTTTTTGCCCCCCTTTAGTTTTTTCAATATATCTCGAGAACCGCTGCGCCGATCGTCATCAAACTTTCAGTACCCTCCCGGGAGCAGCTAGCGCACATGGTGACCAAAAATTTTTTCCAAAGGCTGTGATAGGTTGGCCGCTAATGACGTCAGAGTGACGTCATTTTTGCCATTTTCGACCCAAAAAAAGGTTTCGCGGGAAGAGCTGTCAGGCCTACAGCTTTAGAGATACAGAAAAATGTTACAACATAAAAGGTGTGGAATTAAAAGGGCTACAAAACTGCTATTTCAGTTTTTCTATTTTTTTTTTTATTTTGACCCCAAAAAATAAAAAAAAAGATTTTTTAATATAAAGCCGAAAAATCCAAGAAGTTTTTTGAATGTCGAAAAAAACGGAAAATATGTGATAGTCCCTACCGCCTTCTATCTACATACCATATTTGAGATCGATACCTCTTTTTTTTTGGCCAAGTAATAGCGATAAAACTTCAAAATTGATGACGTCAGATTTTCAAACTAAATTTTTAGCAATTCTAGACCTCGTAGCGCAAAACAAAGACCCCCATTAGACTCCCCGTGACGAGCTGCATCGAATCGATACCCATTTTATGCAAAATATCAGCTTTGAAATTTGACCTTTTTTGACCTGACCTTGACCTGACCTCCACCAGAAAGTGACCTAAACCGTACCTGATGGTCTTATAACCAACACCATTGAGTTGGAAATGAAAAACTGGCCATAAAACACGCATCGCATAACCTTAGTACCTAAAGTTGGGCTCATGTGGTGACCCTTGGTGACCTTTGGTGACCTGACCTGTGACCTGACCTGGTATGACCGGTGACCTCTAATAGCAACATATGTACTAGACAACTGACGCCTCATCGCTGATTTTCGACAAAATGCGTTTTACTCGGTGTTGTAGCGCTTTCCCTAGAAGCCCCGTGAACGGTGAAACATTTTATCTTTGACCTGACCTGTGACGTCGTCGGTGACCCCGAGGTCAATGAAATTTGGTTTCCTTCAACAAATTTGACAGGGCTATCGAACGCCGTTTGAATTTTCCGGATCCGTCCAGTAGTTTCGGAGATAGGGGGGGGGGGGGCAAAAAAAATGCCCCCCCCCACCGCGCGGAAGGTGGCTGGTAGGCCCACCGCCGGCCGGGTTAAGTGTTGACTTCGGGTCAAGGTCAAGTCAGAGCCCCCAGGTCACGAAGTTGGTCGAAGGAGGTCATATCGCATAGCATTTGATTCGACAGCTCTTTCTGAGTCCATCGGAGACTTTCCCGAATCGCTAGCAAAATTTGATTGATAGGGAGTTATTGACGAAAAGCTCTTAGGGACCCTAGTGACGTCATACATGACGTCACGAAAGGTCAACAAGGCAAAAGTGAAGCATTGGGCCTTGCAAGGAGCACATGAAATCACGATTCCGTGTGCATGAGTTAGTTTGAGATCGTTCGCAGCGCCAAAATAACAGTATTAATTTTCTCCCATTGACATAGGTATAATGGTGAAGTCACGTGACCGTCACCGACCTGACCTCATGTGACCTTAAAGTAAAATCTCACTTCTCAGATAGGTATACAAGTTGTGAGAACTCTATAGGATACTACGTCCTGTGAGCTTCATATCCCTGTAAAAGTTCCTCTGGCACCAAGGGCGTTGCGAAGTTACGTCATCTAATGACCGTGCAGAGGTTCACTTATGACGTCATAGATCAGTGACCTGACCCAGCCTGAAAATACGGTTGGTGTCGCAACATCAGTCTTGAATCTCAGGTCAGGTATGCCACATTTCAGCCCTCTATCGCCGGCGTGTACGACGGAGCCATCGCGACAAAAACCTATGGGGTGGGGGTGGGGGGGGGCGACACCTGCCCCCCTTCGGCAGGCGAGGGTTAAGACGACCACGACGTGGTCTAGGAGAACACTCTGCTGGCCACAGTGGGCCCTTAATTTGCCTCACAACACCCTCTGTTGGCCCTAGAGAGTCCTCCGCTGTTTATCAGAGGGCCCTATGTTGGCCTGTTGGGCTCTCTGGTGATACCAGAGGGACAGTTGTGTTGTCCTTGGAAGCCCAGAGGCAAAGAGCTCAGCAGACCACATCTGGCTGCGTAGATGGACGTCGTAGTGATGTCAGGTTGGCTTATAGCGAGATCTAGACATTCACGGGTTCGACGCTGAGCAGCCGTTCACGTCCAGGCGACTACAGTGCTGCCATCTGCCGTGGTGCGCCCCATTCTCTCTGCCCCGCGGAGTGGCGCTGCGAGAGCTGGTGCTCCTCAATCAGACACCACTTCAGCGAGGGGACGGCTGGCACGGGAGGTTGCTCTCCCTCCAGACTGTCGAGCGACAGCTGATCCCCCGACAGATGATTCCAGCATGTCCCTGAGATCGCATGAAGGCGACTCATCAGCCCTGAACATTAAGTATGAGGCGTGGAAGACAAGGATTGGTGCCTCCTAGAGATGGAACAGTGGGATCAGTGAGGCTCTAAGGTCACCATTGTGTTAATTATGAACTAACAACCGCAGGCACATCAAAGTTCAATATATCTAGTAACGCTCCGATTGGCGATTGATATTTCTAGTTCTTCACTCTGAGCGATCACGGCGTCGATAATAGCGATACTGGCAGTGGCGCATGTACCCGCCTGCCACCTACCGGCAACGCAACAGACATTCCTTCCTTCCTCAGGACCAGACCAACCAATCCGCATCCCCAATCGCATCGCCCTTTTCGGTTGGGCGATCATCCCAACAGACAACCAGTGGTGAGGGCATGTCCTCCTTTTGGACTACGACCTCTCTGGGTAACCGTGTAGGGGAGAGGGGGCGTGCTGTTCCAAAGAGACACTACCGTTCCACTCCAGTGGGACGATCTTTGCCGCTGTGGCGCACCGGTGGTGATTTGCACAGTGCACACGGCACAATCCACTGTCGACGCCTTATTCTCCCATCCCATAGCCCAGCAGTGACGAATGGTGGCCGCTACGATTGGATGGCTGTGCGTTGCCGACACGGTGAGTTTGGAGTGTGTCGCTGTGATGTGGAAATACCATTTGTGGTCAACGTCATGACTAAATAGTGCGTTATAAACAAGCGCCACAGATAGATCCATTATAAATATATTTCACAGAACGCACATAAAAACACCTGGAGTGTAGTCCAATTTAACACGTTGCGCATATCGCAATCTTCGATTACTGCCAACGTGGCATTGTAAGACAGAGTGCTCAAACGTCACTATAACACTACAAGCAACATTCGGCCCAACGAAAGTTGAGTTACAGCTGCGTTCTTCTCACAGAGATGCTTAAGCTGTTACGTAGCGCACGATCTGAAAGAGAAGTGAAACGAAAGGGTAAGCAGAGATCTGGAAAATTCAGCGCGGCCCGACAAAAAATCAATGTAACGTGTGTACTATATCCCTAAACTTTTAACTAGCGATAAATGCGAGACACAATGAAAGAACACTTTTCATGGAGAGCACCAGTGAAGTTGAAACATTCCGTCTGCTTTATAAGATTTTCTTCCTCTAAATTTCGACTGAAACTTAGGAGAAACTGAAACGAAATTTCAATTAAGATATCGAAACATTGTAAAAGGCAAGCTTTATAGTAGTTACTTCACTAGCAAATTTGCAATTTACTTGCAAGTAATTTAGCGCCACGTTATCCTCCAAATCTAGCGATGCAAATGAAGCAAGTGCAAAAAGTAGTCCCTTCACTGCATCGCAGCCAAGGACGGTCGGTTGACCACAATTGACCCTCTTGAAGCAGCAGTCTAACTTATTTCCACTTCACGAAAACATAGCAAATCATATACACACTACGCCCCATTAAAATAATACACATGGCATAGCAAGTAACTACGTTGCGCCCCATATTTCACTGAAATAAGGATGAGGTTTCGGAGGATTTCCAGGAGTGGGCAGCTCGCACTCGGAACAGTCACCCTCGCACAATCCCAACACAGTAATCAGCTGAAAACACTGTCACACTTGCAGCAAGTTGAGGAGGCGCCACAGAGCAGCGCATTATCAGATGTTGAACTAGGGATTGGCCGCCAGTAGCGGCGAGGGCGTGCAAAAGTGCCTTTCGACAAGAGCAGCCAACATGCTGCTACGAAAATGGTCCAAGTCATTTGAGTACCTTGCCTAGTGTTGACATTATAATAGACAAAGCTCCGATGCAGATAAGCATCACGAGTCAATTGAGCCCGTGTCTTCCTGAACACTTATTTTTAACACTCAAATTTTCACTCAAATTTGGTTTTCAACAGCCGACCTTTTTCTGGAAAAGCCAGTTCGGCGTAACAAAACAACTGATCTGACCATACGAACTCAGGCAAAGCCCATTGCCTTTCAAGTGCTCAATCCACACATTGGAGCTTTGGGAACTCAGAAACATCGGAGTTCAAAATCGAAACATCAACACTAGTCACGCCTAGCACCAAATGGTGCATCCAATAATTACATTTTGATCATCATTTGATCGGCACATCATCACGCCCCCGCTCGCCTCTCGCGCTATCGCAGAGACATGCACATCAGGTGAGTAGTAGGTGCGGCGAGCCAGCCACGCGGCGTCCGCGCCGGCGACGACTGGGGGCGGGGAGCCAGACTCGGCCGAGGGCCGGTCAGGGCACGGGGTGGGACAGCTCGTGAGGCGCCGACGCGGCTCCGGTCGGCTGGCTCGCCGCGCGGTGACCTGGGTCAGTCCGACCGACCAGTCGGCCGGTCGGCGACAGTCACCGGTGTTAGTGTCAACATACCCGTGACTCTGTACAATCTTACCTCTGCCCCTACTGGGTCCACCGCCCCGGGCTCTGAGACAAAACAAATTAACGTTCAGAAAACAAAGCCAAATTTTGATCAACCAAAACGGCATCAATTTCAGAGCAAATTATGACTGAATGTCTGCACTGTCAACATGTTACTGGAAACCTACCTACATTGGTCTAAGCAACATTATTCGCAAGCGAATCAAATACTTGTGATCGTGAGTACAAAGCTAGGGCCAACAATCTATGGCTCTAGGCCAGCCGGTCGGGCCGAACATTGTCCGACCCTCCCGGCGGCCAACTAGAACGGACAAGGACAGATCAAGGTGCGGCTCGTCCGAGCGGGCCCCCTGCAGACGGCGCTGTGGCCGCGCGCCCCGGCCCGACACCGCACACCAGCACAATCACCAGTCACCGGCAGCACCGCCACCAGCCGTCCATGAAAACCGCCCGGCAGGAGGGGCCGGCGGCCAGCGCGCGCCGGCCGCGAGGAACCTCGCCGCCGCCACGCGCCGGTCGCGTCAGGAGGGAGGAGCCGGCGGCGCCCCCGACTCGACGGCGGCGACGCCCGCTCCATGCGCCACCTAGGACGCGCTGGGACGGCTCGGCCACATCGCGGCCTGCGCTGCCACCAGGTGGCTAACACAGAGGGCGTTTGGTCCACTGCCCGCCAGTCGGTGGCACCGAGACTATTAGTCTCTGGACACAATGACACCCAATAAGTTACCTCAGTCGGGTAACTGTGAAGATAATCACGCAGACCGCGATCGCGCCCGAGCATGGTTCCAGCGTGTCAACAGACAGGTCCAGCTCAAGCCGACAACGGAGCCAAGTGAGACAAGGGGCGGCTTTCATGGACAGGCTATAGCAGAGGCTCGACGCCCGCAGGCCACGAGCCCGACCACCCCACCTGTGCCAACATCACGGACAGCAGCTCATGAGCGTTACTGATTGAGAAAATCCCGAGAATGCTCGTGTTTTCCTGGCTAAATTTTGACTCATCCGTGCTCGTCACTTATAAAACAGAACATTCTGATGCTTGGCTACTCAGCAAGTTTGGTAATAAGTGCGAAGCACAGCAGCACCGCGCTGACGGCCCCTCGCCAGGCGGGAAGCAGTCCTCCCGCCTGCCTGAGGCGCGGCGCGGCGCAGAGCTGCCGTCCAACAGTCGGCGGCGCACATGGCGGGTAGGGCGGCCGGCCCGGGGCCCGCCGGTGGCAGCTCTCCGTCAATCTCACTCACCACGGTGTCTGGACGGTCTCGCGGTTCGGGACTCTCGGGTGGCGGTGGGCGAGCCACCCAGTTGTACTCGCGCTTGTTTACCGGTAGATTCCAGCGCTCATAATCCTGAAACTTGTCAAGAAAAAGGGGAAACCATCAGTCAGCAGCCTACCTTACATTCCGTATGACGCCGGCGCACCTAACTTCACCCCTTAACCGCTCGACGGAAACACTACTCGGGCACACGAACATCACGAATCACTGCACCGCGCTTGAACCAATCTCCAGCACTACGCGACAAAAGACCCCCGCCCGGCCGCCTGAGGGGCGTCCGGGCGACGCGACGGAGCGTCCAGCTGAGCGCGGCGGCGCGGCGTCACAGCACGACAGCGCGGCGGCTCTTACACTGATCTCCACGCGCAAAGTCCGGCGGAACGCCGGCGCGGGCGGCCCGGCGGCGGACAATATCTGTAAAACAGTTGGGTTAGGCACACGCCAGCACATCGAGCAAGCATAGCGGGAGTTGCGGATGTGGAGGTGTTTTCATAGACACCAGAGTCCCTCAACCCGCAGGCAATCGTGGAGGGGGAACACACTTGGGTCATAAGAAGACATTAGTGTCGCCAGCAAAGATACGGTTCATGTTGACTGATCTTACGCATCGTGTTCACTTGGCAAAGGGGAAGCGAAATCATTCAAAATAGGGCCTACGACAGGTAAATAGGTGGCGAAGGACAGGCGGGGCGGGGACAACTGAACAGTTCACTCATCTCGATCGAATATCGGGGGACGAAACCCTTCCGATCCATTTGGAGTTCATCCCCAGTACCAAAGGACGTCACCAGAGCACACCACCGACTTACAGCTCACCTCGCTGGGAGAATACGGCCACCCGCTTCCAGTGCCGCTACGTTCAGCGACCTTAACCGCCCAACACTGGCCTCCCAAACTCAGGCGGCTCACGGGCGACCTGCCAGAGTGGCAAAACGGCCACCACATCCAACGCGCCACTGTCATGCTCGGTGTGGCAAGTGTAAACGTCTGTGCGGCTTCTGCGCCTGATTGCCAATGAAAATATGTGCAAGCTTCTTATGTAAGGTGATCAATACATAAATAATGGAATAATATGCAGCATAGGCGTGGTGAAATCAGCCTTCTCAAGCGTGGAAAATATCACTATAAACGATCCTCATATAAAAATATATTTACCCAAATAATGCTAAATATTTACATGGATGGACCATAACAATACAATATCAATTTATTCTACACTGCCTAATCGCCTTAAACGGTTCTTCCCCGACACCATCATACACAAATCGTTATGGATTTCTAAGCTAAGACAAAGACGAAACAGAAATTCCGGGTTCCATGTGATTGTGATTGTTCCATGTTCCGTGATTTTATCCATCGACTTCGCCTGGTAATGGATGAACGTCTGTTGGCGATTTAATAAATACACAATACACAATATTTGCCTAGCAAATGTGTACCTATTGCATACACGAAGTGCTGACGCGTCATCGTCTAGAAACAAGAGTCATGATCATTGTTGATCAGCGAGATATGATGACCAGGACATATGAAAACATCAGTGACATGCCACACGGCTCCCATGGAGCCGATGTCACGGCAGCCAGCGCCCGCCCGTCAGGCAGGGCACCTTACCGAGCACGGCACGCGGTCTGCCAGAAGAGGCCCCTGCCATATCTATTCGCGGGGCCGGTCCGGGGCCGCCCGGCTGTCACGAGCCGGCGTCACTGGCGGCCGGCCCACCAACCGGCGCCCGTCGGCTACGTGCTCTCCTGATCGGGCCCCAAGGCTGCCCATCCCACCCGGCGCCCCCGCCCGACCCCGACCCAGAACGGCGCCGCCGGCCGACCAGCCGGCTCGAGCCGGAAATGACCAGAAACATCCGGAGCTAGCCCGTGTTTGTTGGCCGAGGCACGGCTCGCGCCGAGTCAGTGTAGTTAGTAACTGACGCACGCTGCTCAGAGGCTGTACGCAGCCAGAAGGAACAGTCGACAAACAGTCAGGCATCACATTTATAAGATCTGGCAGCATCATTAGAAGCCATGGTCACCTTGGAGCTCTGTTGGAATACCTATCTCAATAACAGTGTCCATAGGATAAACAAATAGGCCGCCTGCACTGGTGTGGCTAGGCTTTGGAGCGCGCTGCGCCAGCGCCAGCATCACAGCTTCATAATACATCAAAATTTATGGGCGGAAGTTTTATATGCTTCAACACAATTTGCGCTAGAGCAGAACTCTATAAACCTTGTAACTTTTATAGCGAATAAGCAAACAAGGTCGGTAATTCTCGTATTATGGAATCACATGCGGATGACGAGACCCCGATGTGGAATTTTCCGTCGCGACTGTTTATCGAACTATCGAGCGAGCCGTGTGCGGGTGCATTTAGACCGAATCATGCCACCTCAGCATCTCAGTGGACAGCCTATTTTCAGGTCAAACTCCGTACTAGCGTCCCGCCAACAGACCGACGAGACGGTCGGTGTCGTACCGCGGCACTCGTGCCACGAGCACACCTGTACCGATAGAGGCTCTCCGGAGCGGAAAGAGCGCCCGTCCCCTGCCACCCCGTCAGGCGCACGGCCGGTGGCGTCTCGGTCGGCCAGGCGAGCCGCATAAATCAGGGAGTGCCAGGCATCCAACCATTGTTTATAGTTAGATGACTAGCCAAGAGGATTGACGTAGGTCAAGCAGTTAAGATCATTTACAACAATGGCTTTGCTATTGTGCCAAAGCATGCAAGCCAACCGTAACAACAGAGGCATTCGTTTCTCACGAATCACTGCAACTGATGGACTATTAGGCACCACATGGAGCGCTAAATTGCAGAGACCGGGACCACACAGTGCAAAATGTTTGATGCCCCGAAACTGCACGGAAACCACAAACCAGCGCATCAGGACACGCTACCAAAAAAGCCTGGAGACATAGATTAGGCACTGAAAGCAGTGCGCTGCCTTTTCCCTGCCGCACGGCCCCCAAGAACAGCTCGCGACCTGGTGAGGCGCAGACAGCCGGCAGGCAGTGGAAACAGCACGGGCCGTGCCGCCACATCGGGGCCGTGCCGCGGCAGATCGATGCTGCTCGGCGGCCGCACGCAGGCGTGCTGCCACCCGGCCAGTACGGCCGGCCGGCACCGCGACGTAGCCACTACCGGGTCTGCCGGACCGGCCGCCCAGCCGTGCCGACCGGTCTCGGAAGTATGACCGGTCACCCTCAGCAATGCAAGCGTCGTTCCTGCCACCCAAGAGATGAAACCACACCTAAAATTTGAACAAAGCACAAATCTTTACGATATTTAGCCGTCCTTATGTTGCGACACCGCTTTTCTCGTTTTGCTGATGACGCTTAACGCCACACATCTTCTTGTCTGGGTAACCACTTGGGCGACAGACCAGTGCGAATGTCCCAACTCCATAAGGTCAAATTGCACGGAACTAAACGCTCATCAATATATCTTCATTTACAGTCAACGGCACATTCTAATTTCAAACTATTCGAGTTGTTTTCCAAACATCTAAGCATCCATCGTGCCTCAGTGACGCCCCCGCGCGTTCAGTGACGTCACAAGCCGTCACATTCCATCACATCGCTGCCCCGATCTGACGTAATCCGCCGACCTGCCATGAAGCCGTGGCGTGCCACCACACCTTCAGCCAGACAGGCGTGACGCCAACTCACGGCGACAGTCCGAGATCAGCTCGGCATCAGGGGGTCATTGTACGCCAAGCGGCGGGTGACGAGAAGGATCAGCTGGTACACCATCGTCCCAGCAACCAGCTCGTCGCACTACCACTGGCAGTAGACAGCTGTGTCGTTTTTACCGTCACAGTCGTTTGACTCAGAAACCCTCCCATCTTGCCGGGTCAGGCGGCCGCCGGGGCTAGGACACGCGCACCTGAACAATCGCACCGTCAGCACGCTCCGCAGAGTCTTCCCAGCTCTCCTCTGGAGCGGCGGCGACACGCACGAGGCCGGACGTGACGCGACATCCAACCATGCGGAGAGGCCACCAGTCGGCGCGTGGCCGATACCCATTCTCCAAACAGTGGAAAATCACACGGCCGCGCGTCCGACGGTCCGAGTTAGCGCTCGCCAGCGGTTCGCTGAAGCAGCTAGTGAGACATGTGGAGTGAACAGGGAACAGAGCAGCCGCGGCGAGGTGCGATGGGGTGCGGGACTAGTAGTTACCTGGCAGTTGAGCGTGCCGTGGCAGTCCCGGCACACCACGGACTTGGTGCGGTCGCAGATGAGCAGCGCTCCCTCCGGATACCGGTGGGAGTCGGTCAAGAACGGAAAGTCCTGGCAACAGAAATAGGTCATGTCAGCCTGACCATCAGTTGGCACTGGGCAGGCGTACAGGGCTGGCAGCACGCGGAACCCACGTGATTGCTAACCCAACTGTCAAACACATCCCGTACAGACATACGCACTGCAGAGCGCTTCTGGGTGTTGCACCAGGACACGGAGCAAAGTCCAATGCATGTAATCCATATGATGGATGGTCTTGTCACACAACGAAAACAAATGATAGGCCAGGGGTTATACCACCACATAACCGACATGAAATGCATACCAACGCATTTCGGTCTGAACGGTTAGCTCATCAGTCGGCTTGCGAACAGTGTCTGAATTTTTCGATGTTCGCTTAATTGCCTAAAACTTCTATTTAGAGCAGTGACGAAATCAGACCAATGTAACATAGTGACCTAAACCAGGCAGCCATGGTCAACTATATAAAAACCCCAGAATGCCTTAGCTCTGTTACCACCTCATCAGTAGCCGCTTTCAGCGACGTCGTGTTTACATAACAGTTGCGCCATTTCAGGACGGGCGTCCCCAGCCTCAGAAAACGACCACCCGATAGAGCCTCTTGAGGTGATGCAAACCTTAAGCAGAAGAGATGAACAACTCATCCTGAAAACTTGTGTACATCTACCACGTCCCAGATTAAACAACTTGATAGGTCATTGCACAAAGCGGTAAAATAGTTCAACTTTAATATTTTAACTTTTGTTAAAACAACTGTGTTTGCAATGAGTGAGACAAATAAGCAACAAGAAACAAGAAAGTCATAAAATAGAAGCATAAGATAACCTGAAAGTCTTTTGGTCTCACAGCGAGATGAAACTCAGCAATATGCGATGCAAAACGAAATATTAGCCGAAATGGCGCGAAACCAGGGACACACCATGATGAAACGGCCCTGGCATGTTTCCAGTGCGCGCGCGCGCAGTGCACGTCATCAGAGAGCCGCTGACGCAACCTGCGGCTGCCAGCCTGCGCAGAGCCCCGGAGCAGCGAGGTCGTACCGCTGCAGTGCACCGGGTAGCCGGCACTCCCCAGTTGACTGGTCACGGCTGAGCTAAAAATAGCACCCCGCCTGCAGTTCAGGTTTTGTCCCACGTTCAAAATAAGCCGATTGCAATGCCCTTTACAAAGCCGGCAAAGTAGCAACAGTTTATGCATTGCCCGCCCGGGGTAGCAACTAGTCTGGACTTACCAGGGTACCAGCGGTTATTGAACTACATACGTTGTACAGGACAGGATACATTTTTCTTATCGCGTTAACGAAATCCTGATAAATTGATTATATAACATGACGTTAAATAGAGAAAGGCAACAATATTATTTCGCAACTGCGCGAAAATTGTTGCACCATGGACATTGGACAATGAGCAACCTGCACTTGCAACAAAATGAAAGACCGGTTGCATTTTAATCGATCAAAAAATTGTGATTAGTGTCGTTCAAACGAAAAAGCCGGAATAAAATATTAGCATACACAAAAGACAAACAAACGTTTGGAAACATTTTAGATCCTGAAGTGATTCCTTCCGATGCAAGATACCTGGAGAAGATAATGGTAGTTGCACAAGAACAACCAGATGAAACATAGTCTGACCCAAGCATGAAACAAACGGGTAAACAAAACGAAAGTTCACCCACCTTAACGTCAATGACGTGCAGACGCTTCCTGTACGTGCGCACGCTGCACACGAAGCAGATGAAGTTGTGCGTGTCGTACTCGCGTTTGTACGGGTCGATCTTGTTGGAGAGTCGCTCGTAGCGCGCCCACTGGTCTGCCAGTGTGTGGTAGCAGAACACGCACACCGCCACGCTACAGACGGGCGCGGGCAGGTGACGCTGCTGCGCCAGGTGCGGGAAGAACGGCGCCGACGCGTCTGCCTGGTTCGGCTCCGTGCGCACCTCGTAAGCGGCATTCGCTTCGAGGGGTTGGTGACAGGCGTAGCATCCAGCTGTCACTGTGGACGGTGCTACCAGTGACATCGGCTTTGGTGAGGCGTCCGAGCGTGCCGGCGCTCTACGCTTGGCGGCGCGCGTGGAGGCGTCGCCAGAGGGCCGCTTCGGCCGTCCCGAGGAGCTGCTCGACGAGCTGCTATCGATCGTGCGGCAGTCGCTCATGGTGCGGGCGCGCTCCATGGGTCCCGATAGACGGTCGGTCAGCGGGGATCCCCGCTCGGCCACAGGCGAGTTCCGGTCGGTCAGAGGCAGCGGTCGGCCGCCGGCCAGAGGAGAGTGTCTCCCGGAGGGCGGTGACCCGGAGCCCACCGACCGGCTGCTCCCGGAGGCCAGGCTGACCGGCGGCGACGCTGAGGGCACCGGCGGCGAGTCGCGAGCCGCGTCCGAGCCACTGCCCACAGAGCTCCGGCGCGGCGCGTACACACGATTGGCCACTGGCGTGCCGTTCGCGTCATACGCCTCCCACTGCTTCTGCAGCTCCCGCAGGCACTGGACACAAACCAGTGCTGACGAGCGTTTCACCACGGACCCAGGCGGGCGCGGCTCGTGAGCCAGTCTCGGGAAGTGCATGAGTGCCTGGTTGGAGCTCTCCAGGCGCACCTCCGCCATGAAATCTCGCTGATGTGTGCGCTTGCACGAAATGCACACGACCTCACGCCGGCGCACGCGAATGTTTTCGAAGGTGGAGGGTCGCGTCTCCTCGGCGGTCTGCCCGCGCACCGCCTCCTCGATGATCCGGTAGCAGTGACTGTCCGCGGGCAGTGGCCGGCTCTGCTGCAGCGTCTGCCGCAGCACCGCCTTCCTCTTGCAGTTGACGCACACGGAGACGGCGCCGCTGCGGACTCCCTCGGCGCCCGGCGGCGTCACCGGCCGCAGCACGTCCGGATAGCAGTGCTCGCCAGCGGCACCCGGCGTCACACGCAAGCGGCTCAGGCACGCCACCGAGTAGGTAAGGCAGCACATGTAGCAGACAAACTCCCCCAGCAGGGGTGCGCTGGCCGCGTGCACCGCGTACTTCCGTCGCTCGGCAGAGACCCGGTTCTCTTTCTGGTAGTCGTCCCACTGATGCAATAGACTCGTTTGACATTTGTTGCATACGTTGACCCGACCGTCCGGTGACATAGGTCGCGACCCGACCGGACGGGCGTGGTCGACGAGGCTGGGGAAGAAGGGCTCGTCACCGTACCGATGACGGCCAATCACCAACAACGCACGCAGAGTACTGCGGCGCACTGGCGTACCACAGGTATAGCACGCCTCCACAGGCGAGTCTTTGTCTGGCAAGCTGAGGTCCATTCCACGTTGGTCGGTGGAACTTTGGTGGCTCATTGACCTCATGGTAAGGTCTAGAGGTCCCTCTGCCATAGGCGGCACACTCTGGTGACTCTGCTGCGGTGACCAGCAGCCACCTGATGCCAGCTGAGGCTCATCGGGCCCCGCCTCACGCTGCTCAGGCATGCCCCTGGTATCTGTGGACAGAATTTACACAACAGTTAATGCTCATGTACAGTCCACAGCAGAAGTAATGTGTGGTTTCAGTCATGGGTATGTTCTGCTTCTGAAGCTTAGGAACGATTAGCCAGACTACAATGAAACTTTGAATGTAGCTTATATGTATCATCACCCTTGCAGCTGCAACTTAAGCTATTGACATCTTCTTTTCGATCACTCCGCATTAAACAATCGCCAGTCAAAGCCAACCGTTGAGATTGGTAAAACCCTACATTACTTTAGTGGTGGGCTGTACATCAAGGTCTGTATGTTTAACACTCTTAGATATCAATCTCTACACATGCCTCTGAAACAAATCAGACCATTGTCATTCTACTTTCCTTGTCTGTGTATTATGAAATGTTTTATGGCAGAAGTGTACAATGGTTTGCAATTATGGATACATCACACAAATCACAAATTCATAAAAACATGTTATTTGTATAGGCAATCAACAGAAAAGTAGAGCCATATACCACCCCAATATATCACAAACCACCCCAAAATATTCACCAGCCTTGCATCAACAAACATTGCATGATCATGCATCAAGTAAAGCTACAATAACATTTAAGATGCCACATTTCCAGCTTACGTGTCAATTATGCCAAGGAAAATGGCATATTTTGACCATTCGCCAGAGCCAAATGCAGCTCTGTGCCAAATTCAATCAACAAACTTGATGACAAAATTCAAAGGAAGGAGAGCTAGGTATGATTTTATCAATGCTGCAGTATTCAAGGACACACAATGGTCCCAAATTTCAATGCAAAGTACCAGCACAATACTTTGCTAGCAGAGGCCAACTCAAACTACAGCATGCAAGCGCAATGCCCTATGCCATGGTAAGGATGCCCACGAAGCCAACAAAAGACAACCTCGCTTAGGTAAGTACCATAATTGAAAAGCAAATAAGGCAGGGTAATTGGCATGCATGCGCAATGTGCATTTCACAAAGCTCTTTATCACATTCCTAAAAAATGGACACCACCCTAAAAAAGTGCATCCAATCATGCAGGTTGCTAAAGCTTACGAGTACAGAAACCTAGGAAAAAACTCACAAGCTCCAGTTTTTGAGACTTTGGTTAACAGTTTAGCCTTCTTCAAAGATTTGCACATAAGTTGATACTCTCCGAATTATCTTCAAGCGGGAATGCCTCTGTCACACCACAGTCTCCCCACCAAATCTACACTATCGCGCAGCTCCGTGCACCGGTCCTCCCATCACAATCTACTGCTGACAGCTGAGCAGTGACCGAACGCCTACCCGCTTGCGCCCACCCGGGTATGGCCGACCGACCTGCCACAAACCGGCTATAACTGGTTATGTCTGGGCTGTATCCCCACCTAATGTTGGCAGCGCTCCAAGGCACGGAGGCGAGGTCGCGAGCGGGACCAGTGGAATTTTCCACCGCAACACTAGCGCCACCGGCAGGGGTGAATCGACCACAGACCGCGCCGCGACCGTCCACCGTGAAGTGGACTCGTAGCAAGATCATGAGATGGGGGTAGCGGCATATCTCTGAGTAGGAGACATCATAATCGCTCAGCAGCGTTTTGCTTTGAGTTTTGACATGCATATTCACAGTAGGTAGGTACGTTAGAAAAACAAAAGGAAAAAAATAATAAACAGTCGACCCGCAACATCTCGTCTGTTTGGTGCACTGATTGATGACCAAAGGGGTTCCGGGTTAGGACTACGAAATGGCTACGAAATGTATACGTGTAAAAAGTGAAAATGACCTTACCTTTGCGCTTAAGCGTGCTTCTTCGAAATACTGGATGCCCCAAGTTGAAGTCAAACCTCACTTCAATCCAGGTGACCTTGGATTATGTGGTGACAAAACAGACTGAGCAGTAACTTGATGAACTTGACATGTACACATTACGTTTGAATGTAGTCCCTACTTCAACAAAAACCATACAATCATTTATGCATCTCAAATTAAAATTTGAAGAGAAATGAAATATCATTTCCCAGTTCTCGCGTTTCTGCCACTGCTGTCTTCTGCGCCGCTCAACCGTTTCTTTTGATCAAGTCTCAAATAAATCCTGTAACAGTAATAAGCTTATCTATCATCTGGTGCGGTTTTTGAAAAGCAAACTGGGAATTGAAATATTTCATCAATTGTTTTTATAATGTGAAAAAACATTAAAATCATATTTTGTTTAGCAGAACCTTTTGCAGTAAAATAGCAGTAAATATTCAAAACTGATAATGTTCACAACTATCATCCCCTTCTTGGTTTCTATAGCAACAACACACTGCAAGCATTATTTTCAATTTCTGCAGCAGCGTTGCCAGGCGATTTGCGTTGATAGTGGCTCCAGAGAACAAACCTATTTTACCCATTTATGGCTTTTATGTTTCAGGTTCAAGTTGTTTGTTGACAACGGCTGTTATTTGTGTTGAGTGACTGTTATCCTAACGGCCTTGACTGTTATTTGGTTGCTATTTTCATTTGTAGTCAGGGTTACTTTTAAAGGGGGGGAAGAGGGGAATTTCCCCCCTTCGAAAATTCCGCTCCCCCTTTCAAATCGTGTCTGAACGGCTAGGGAGGGAAAGGGGAATTTCCCCCTTTCAAATTTATTTTGGAGCCCATTTTCAATCAATTCGCTATTCAGATTCTATAGCCATCGTTAATCAGATTCTCGTCATCAATCAACGTTGCTGGCGTTAAGATAATTATTAATTTTCAATTTTCGGTTCCATCCAACCATTTTACGTTCAGTGCAGCAGGAACTCCAGATTTGACCCGATACCGATCGGATAGTCGGTGGGACCGTCTCTTGTCTTGTCTCTTCCGTCTTTTCGCAATCACTGACATATCGGTACAGGCGTCGGCGTAGAAACCGGCGGGGGACGGGATTACCTCTCCGAACCAAGGGTGGATACTCGAGGGCACGGCTGGAAGCTGGCGAAACCTCAAGCAGCGTCTCGTGTGCGGAGGAACGCACTCTGCGTACGAGCCATCAATGACTGGAACGCCCTTCCTCGTCATGTGGTCCTCGCTGAGACCCTAACCCAGTTCAAATCCAGACTCGACCAGCACTGGCAGACCATCCATTACTCAGTGCCAACCCAAGATTTAACCTAGTGTATCCAGAACCTACTCGACGAGATCGGGACCTTCAGGCGTTGTGCCTTTCTAAATCCCGATAAGTGTATGTAAGGTAAGGTAAGGTAAGGATACAGGGGGAGGGGGGCAATGGGCCATGGCCCCTCCTTTGACGCAAAAAGAAGGTGACCCCCTTTTGGACCCCCTTTTATATTCTGTGTTCTTTCTCAGAAACGACCCATTTATTCACGATTATTTTCACTTTTTCATCGACGCCAAGGCCAGACATCTAAAATTTTTGTCCCAATATGACAATGGCCGTGTTTAACCATCCTCCAAACCGGAATCATTGAAGGAAAAACAACGTTATTTTTGTCCCATAGGCATTAAAGCTTTGAGTAATAAATGACTTTTCTCTTTATGCAGCATTCACGTTCATCTGCTTTGCATGCAGAGCAGGGCGCAAAAAAAAATGTACCTCATCACAGCCGGCTTTCCCAATGGAACTTTCACTGCTCACTAATACTAATAGTAATAATTCAAGTTTTGTGCTTCATTAGTTTTTGTTCGGATATCACTGCCCACCTTGTAGTTGAAGAGGTTGCAGTTTTGTAGCGCCGTCGTTTCTCTACATACACGACCACACAAAGAACTTTGGAATTGCTCGTTAACTGTAGCTTTTGTGAGCGTTTAAGACTTTCATGTTTTTTGCTCATTTTTGCTCGAACAGTTTGACATCAATTACTCCTGACCTAAGGTGACCTAAGACTTGAAATTTTGTGCGAAGGTTTCAAATTGATGCCCGGTAAGGTACTAAAAAATTTGGCGGCGCTGCGCGCCGCCGTTTTTCGCTTTTCAAGAAAACCCACATGGGGGCCAAAATGACCTCCAATCAGGGCGCGGATTAACCTCTCTCTTTAGAAAGGCGTTACTTAATGTTTGGCCGGGGTATACCTACTAGTTATTGATACCACTGATAGGTTGATACTACTGATTGGCATTTGCAAGGGCGCAGTCAAGTTGGGACCTCCCCCGCCCCTTACAGCCAAGGTAGGTGCGTATATTTTTTAGCAAAATTATTTTTTGGCAACCTTCCAAAATAAAGTGGCTGAAACCCGAGGAAAGAATAGGATTTGGGGGTAGGTAAGGTTCTGCGGGCTCCATCCTAACGAAAAACCTAATGGTATTGCCGCCCACCCCCCTTTCAGATGCCCCTGGATCCGCCTTTGCCCCGAACTTTATTCCCCCTCTCAACTTTTCCTGTAAAAGTAACCCTGTTTGTAGTGGAATTCCCGAAGTGGAGGAATGAGTTTTGGTTTAATTAACTTGCCCTGCCTTCAAGCGATGCACAGAATAGCCTGGTAAGATTTCATGTAAGCAAGGTTTGGGGGGGGGGGGGTCGAGTCCCGAGGCGGCGGAGGGGAGTGACTGATTGCTAGCTACGAGCCTACGACGATTCGAGTCTAGATTTTCAACTGGTCACTAGATTTGGTAATTGGGGCGACGTCTTCTAAGAGAGTACCAACGGGCAACGATTGCAGGGCAAATCTTTGTGTGGCATTTCACTTTGTCCGCAAAACTTCGTCCGCACATTTTGATTTCTTTGTGTCACATTTCGTTGTAAGCTCAAATATTTTAAAGGGACCCTCCCACCTTCAAAAAAGTTAATGAATTGGCATGAAAGTGATGTCGCTCGGTTCAGAAAGAGCAAAAACAAATATCTACCAAATTTCATCGAAAAATATTCACCGGTTTTAAGATATTAGACTTTTACTTTTGTTTACTTTTTGGGATCTCTGCTGTTCCTAGCGACTTTATTTGAAAGTGCGGCATTTGTTGCGCGCAAAGCAGCATATACCACCGTGTGCTACAAAACGTTTTAGTCAAACATTCAAAAATCGTTAGATATCTGCGCTGACGTCACACATTCAGAGGGGTATTCCTATGCATTAGCCCCTCTGAATCAAAATGCTGCAATTTTGAAATTCAATATTTCCGATTTAAGGCATTTCTCGATGTTGTGATTGCCGAAACTGGTAATTGTGAGCCAGGGACCCCATTTTGGCTATCTCAACTCAAATCTAATGTTAAGGTGGGAGGGTCCCTTTAAGTACATTTCTCTATCTGCATTTTTTGTTCTGCGCATTCTATTTGTTTCACATTTTTCATCCATGCATTTCTTCATCTTTGCAAATCTTCATCTCAAAATCTCAACCTACCCCTACTACTTGGCATAACTGAAACTAACCTAGCCTAGCCAGCCTTACTAAGCTTCCTAACCACCTTAGGCTCTCATAGACGAAAATCTTGGTTACTTATGTAGAAATGCCAGTTTTCATAAATCTTCTCCCACAAATATTCATAATTTTTTATAGCCTAACTGAACTTAGCATAACCTAACCTAAAATAACCTAACCAAACCTTACCTAACTAGCCTCCATAGACACTTCTTGTGCTCTCTGCTTAGAACAGAAAACTGGTGATTCAGCTGTCAGCCTCAATATAACACTGGAGTTTTGCGTGCCTATAATTCACAACCATGTATGTATTGTAGATTGTAGAAAAGATCTGCCACAAAAATGTCAACTTTTAAGCTTTGTCCTGTCCTTTGGAGGCTAAACTGTTGAGTGTTGACCCAAGAACAAATCTGAGGAAGTCAGTCAGAAAGAGCTTTTGAAAGCTATCGAATACGCTTGTTCATGGTGCTGTAGTCTGTGTCTCTGTTTGTTCCTGAGTTATGCACCAATTAGTTTTAAAAAGTCGCCAAAATCGGATTTTTCCTAGATTATTTTACCTTTGGTGACCTTCATTGACCTCAGCAATGCTGGATCGGAAATGACCTGAAAATTTATCAAAGATCTTATAGCGAGCTATCTGTCGCTTCTTTTCGCAACTTTCTAGCTTTTTTAGTTTCCGAGATAACCGGTTGTGGCCAAGTACGCCTCCCCCTCCTCACCCCACACACACCATGGCGAAGTTGGCTGAGACCCTCGTCAGGGCGCGGGTTAACTGATATGTATTATGTGATGAGGTAGCCAATGGGTCTGTTGATGTGACTTACAAAAAAAAAGAAGAAAAAAACATCGGAGGAATTTGGATGAGCCTCGAGGAGACCCGTTTTCGATAGAAATTGACCCAGAACGATGATAAAGTTAAGTGAGCGTGATGCAGTAAAAACGTAATATGCAGTGGCATTTAGGTCTGATTTACGCCAAATGCTACTTTTCTACATAGAGGCACAAAGTGTTTTTGTTAGAAATAGCCGGTGGTTACTCTGATTACTAGTGACCTGACCTAGCCCGGTCAATTCCAATTTAGATGCAGTCAATCAATTCATAAGGTTAGAGTGATACGTGATAGACGTGACAGAGGGTATGAGCCTGTGTGGCACGTAGTGTCGCAGTAGGTCTGTGGTAGGAATATGATTACTGTGTGTCTTTTCAAAGTTTCGAAAAGGCAATGTCAAAGCCCACGCTTAGTGGATATCATTCAGACAAACCATTTCCACTCATCGGAAGGGCCGTACACCTTACTTTTTTCCTTTTTTCTTTTCCCGGTTTTAAAGTTCGACCTTGAATATCCTCGCTCACTGACCCACGCCCGTCACGATACGACGTAATAATTACAATGTTTCTTGTGTTGCGAGATTAAACACTGACACTCATTGCTAACATTCCGGTCCTCCCGGCTCAGTTTTGATATCTTTCCGAATTCAGAACATTTTGAGCTTGACAACTGTGCTCTCGGATTTGTGTCCAATATCGTCTTTTTTTCTGTGAAATAAATTATTTGCCTGCATCTTTTATGAATTGGCGTCAGAACGAACACTGGACCGTTACAATTCAATTGTGAAAGCCCCTAGCCATTAAAAAATATTCACCAGACACCACTATTTACACCAAGAGCGGCATTCCACAGCTGCCATTATGAAAAAACTCTGCAAGAAAATGTTTAGTGTTTTGATGGCTTACATTACTTGACTTGTCCATTTGACAGCGCCAGTTTGGCTCTGATGGTGGCTGGTCCCCTCTGTGCCGACAGGTGTCAGCTGAGGGTATGACCAGGTGACAGAGTCGGACGGCCGCCACCATGGGCGGCACCGGGATGGTGGAGCTGCGCTTCTCCGAGCTACGCGAGCGACTCGACCTGCTCGGCTACCGGCAGCCGCTCAGTTTGGACTCCCTCCCGCTGGCCGAGTGTATGCTGGCCGACCTGCTGCGCACCACCGACAGCCTCAAGGCCACCAAGAGGCAGCTGCAGGCGGCTGACCGTGAGGCGGCCGAGGGACGCGACTGCGTGGAGCCGTACCGTCAGGACAACGCCCGGCTCTGTCAGGAACTGAGCGCTCTGCACGAGCAGCTGAGCGCCGCCGCCGAGAAGCACCAGGCCGACACGAAGGATCTGCGGGCGGACGTCCGCCGGCTGACCGATGAGAACGAGGACCTGCGCTTCCTCTGCGGCCAGTACCGTAAGCAGGCGGACGCCGCCGAGCAGCGGCTGTTCGCGCTGCTGGAGAAGCAGCCACAGCCGCTGGCGTCAGTGACCGTCACCGGTGAGCGGCCGGCCGGGTCGCAGCGCGGCCGCCGCCAGCGGCTGGACATCAGCAGTCACCTGGACAGCAGCCGGCCGTCGGCAAACTCCACCGGCCGCTCACTTACTGAGAGCGGCCGCGGACAGGCCGATCGGCACACCATCGACCTCGTGACGGCCGCCGAACAGCGTGTGGCCGACCTGGAGCAGCAGAGAGACGCGGCAGAGGAGGCGCGCGAGGCTGCCGAGGCGGCTGCGGAGGAGCTGCGGAACAAGGTGAGTGCGCGTGAGGCGGAGATCAGCCGGCTGAACGGCCTGCTGCAGGGCGGTCGGCCGCAGCACGCCGTGCTGGCAGACTCAGACGGTAAAGAGAACGCCCCGACTCGCTCCAACGTGCCCTACACCGAACTGAAGAAAGCCAACGCGCGACTGGAGAAGAAGCTCAAAGAGGCCGTGCATACTCAGCACGAGGCTATGCAGCGAGCCGTCCAGCTCGCGCAGAAAAACGAGGCGCTCAAACGCGAGCTGGACGATCTGGATGAGATTGTACACGCTTTGGACCGGGACCGGGACCAGGCGGTGCTCTCCAAGCAGCAGCAGCTGCAGGACGAGCGCAGCCGCGCAGAGGAGACGGTCCAGGAGCTCGGCGCGGCGGCGGCGCGCGCCGAGCGACAGACGGCCGAGCTGGCGGCGGCGCGTGACCGGCTGGCCGACACGGAATCTGAACTGTCGGCCGAGCGGCGCCGGCGGGAGCAGATCGAAACGGAGCTGGCCGCCGCGCGCCAGGCCGCCGCCAGTCACGAAACGGTGCTGCAAACGCTGCGAGCCGACCGACAGGAGGCCCAGCGACGGCTTGATAAAATAGCGGAGAACGAGAAACAACTCGTACTGGAGCTGGACCGGCTCAGTCGGCAGAAGACCAACAAGGTTCGCATGCCGGAGAAGACGCAGAAGCTGATCGACGGTCTTGAAGAGCAGCGCGACTACTTTAAAAGTCAGGTGGAGGAACTCTTGGAGCAGCTGGAGAAGAGGGACGTATCGGCAGCCAGTCTGCACGCAGAGGAGACTGCTGAGACAGGGATGTCCGCAATGGAGGCCGCCGGACTGCGGGCCGACCTGGGCGACTGTCGCCGCCAGCTGGACGACTGTCGCCGCGAGCTGGAGCAGTGTCGCCGCCAGCTGCTCTGTCGCACGGACGAGAGTGAGCAGCTGCGGCGCCGACTGGACGAGGCGCTGTGCTCGCTGCACAGACTAAGCGACTCGCAAGCGTCAGCCACGATGACCAGCACGGCACAGCTGGAGGGACTGCTGCATACCATGGAGCGCACCATGGAACAGGAGCGCAGCCTCGCGTCCGGCGACTGCAAGAGGCTGGAGCACGAGCGGAATGAGCTGCGCTCGCGGCTCAAGGTGGCCACTGAGACGCAGCTGGCCGAGCGAGTGAAGCAGGAGGCGCGGATAGCCGAGCTAGAGGCGCTGATCGGGGCTGCAGAGACGGACCGCACTGTTCAGCGCAGCGAGGCGGCCTCACAACGAGCGCTGATCGTCAGTCTGGAGGCGCAAATGAAGGGTCTACAGGACACCCTGAGTGAATCCCAGACAGAACTTAGCCGTGTGCTGGCCAAAAACAATAAGATGAAGACGTTTGTCAGTCGCGGAGAGTCGTCGCTGAAGGACTGCGAAAACCAGCTCATCAAGAAGACAGGTGAGCTGGAGGCGTGCCTTCAGGAGCTGCAAGCGGTGCAGCGGCAGTGCGCCGATTTACGCCGCACTCAGGAGGAGGCACAGCGCGAGGCGCGCCGTCAGACCAAAGTGATTGAGCAGCTGGTACGTGAGAGGGACAAGTTCCAGAACACCGTGGACGATAAGACGGAGCTGCTCGACGAGCATCGACAGCAGCTGGAGAAGTGCAACGCGCACATCGTCCAGCTGGAGTCTACGGTGACCAACGTGGCGGCCGACCTGGCTACCAGTCGCGAGCAGGTCTCTGAGCTGGAGAAGGAACTGCGCTCGGTCCGACGTAAGCTGGAGGCGGCCGAGGCGCAGGTGGGCAGCAGCGATCGCCACCGGGGAGCTGTCACCGAAGAGAACCGTCGACTCCAGCAGGACCTGACCACGCTGACTCGCGAGCTGCAACAGATGAAGAAAGAACGCGAGGAGGCCGGTCGGCTGCAGGAGGAACTTCGTCAACAAGTACGCGAGTATGTCAACGAGGTAGCGCGCGTGGAGGAACTGCTCGGCATCCGGGAGGAAGAGCGTAACGACCTGCTGAGGCAGTACAAGAACCTCACAGTGGAGGCGTCAGGTCTGGAGGAGACCAACCACACTCTGGACTCTGAGGTGACCCTTCTGCGCTCGGAGGTGGCTGCGCGCGACGCCGAGCTCGAGCACGCGCGTGAAACGATTACACTACTGAACGAGGACATCCAGCAGACTTCTGTGGCGCGTCAGCAGGCGGACATTTCTGCGAGTCGTCTGAACGAGTCTCTCTCTGGACTGGAGGCGCGCCTGCAGCAGGCTGAGGCCGATCGCGACCGGCTGGACCGCGAGCTGGCAGCGTGTCGCGATCTCAGCTGCAAGCTCGACTCCCAGCGCCAGACCCTGAGCCGCGAGCTGGCGGACCGGGACCGCGAGCTGGAGCGTCTGCGCTCCGAGAGCCGCACGCAGCAGACGGAGCTGCAGACGGTGAGACAGCAGCTCACCTCCGAGCGCGCCACTTGTCAGAACCTGGAGTCGCTGCTAGCCTCGTCCCGCGGGCAGCAGTACGAGTCGGACATGACCTCTCAGCAGCAGACGGCCGAGCTAGGCCGGCTCTCTGAGCGAGTCTCGGCCCTGCAGAGCGAATTGGAGGCTCAGAAAATCGAGACGGGTCTGTACCGTGCGCAGGCAGCCGATAAAGATGCCGAGTTGGACCGATACAAACGTCAGATCGTCAGCGAACGGTTCGAAAAGGAGCGTCTCAGCCAGGAGCTGCGCCGCCTGCGACGGGAAACTGTTCTCTCCACGTCAGCTCCGCTGCTGCCGGGCACCGGCCGCAGTCCAACCGGTCACGACCTGGGCGGATCCCCGACCGGCGTGACGACGCGTCTGTTCTCCAGCACTGCAGAAACGAGCAGCTCGTTCCGCAGACATACAGACGGAAGCCCGTCCGGCGCCGGCTGATGATGGTGCGGGCTGAGGAGTGACAAGGCAGCGCGTGAGATGGATGGTGTAGCATATTGGCATGTGTTGCTACACTGCTAAAATGCTGAAGGATAGGAGAGATCTCAACAAGCACTGCGCGGGTAGTGGAAGCGACACTGGCAAATCGCACGACACCACAGCGTAAGATTAGACTGAGGCTCTTTCGACCAGCTGCGTAACAATTCCGTCCTGTGTCTGTGCCTTCATGTCCGACCAATTTCTCACGATGAGTCTCGTCCTTCACCGGCACGTAGTTGTTAGCTGTGTCAGATTAGCGTTTTCACCAGTTCGCGTGTCGTGTCACTGATTTCCCTGAGCTGTGCCATACTCGATCTCATCGAACGATGATGCGTGATTCCGTCGGAGAATTTGGTGTTGAGTCAGTGACGTGTAGTGTTGTGCCGGTGTTGTGAATTGCTGAGCCATTGGCATCGGGTGGTCGCACCGAAAGTCTCGACATTCGGTGCGGATTTTATGTTGACCAGTATGTTTCCGCCCAGTCTGACTAGTGACTACTCACCGTAGCCTGCCTGGAGGTGATGCATGTCTACGTGATGTTGGCTAGTTTGTTATGTGCACTGATACTGCCGCTGCCGAATGAAGCTTTTATGCTCGTAAACAACGAAACAGTTAGTCATCCAAGTTAGTTGTTTTGGGTGCCACCGGTCTGTTGGGATTCTCCAGCATTGCATTCATCTCGATTTATCAAATTGTTTGTCGTTTTTACCACAACTGTGCCTCCGCGGGCATCCGTGCTCGCAGTAATGACCGAATGTGCACAGGGTTTTCTCAGTGTATTCAGCTCAACCCATGCAACAATCACTGCCAATCGTGATATTGCTGTCACAGGACTGACTGTAGACTGTAGAGCTCGTCGGTCAGCCGAACTTTTTCCCAGTTGTGTCTTAGCCAGTGCATTAGGCGATCGTTCGGTGTTAGTCTGTTCGTTGTTGAGTTGTGTGTTGGCATAGTATGCGTGTGCACATCGGTTATATTAAAGTCACCGTCTTAATGAAAATATATGTTTAAATGTCCACAGTGTATTGTATTTGGTGCGCGTATCGCATCACTTGCTGGGGGTGCATCTATCGTATCACTTGCTGTGTACCCATCTCTCACTCGCCAGGTCAGGGCATCGTAAACAAATCAGACTCAGTGAGGCAAAGCTACCTTGTTCCATATTCATATTTTTCGTTCAGCCCGACATTCTCCGATGATGCTCATTGATTCAGCGTGCCCCTGGGTGACGGTGATCGCCTGTATCTCGTGCTCATCCGACTCTGGAGGTCACGCAACTCGGACCGAACGGAGCGGCTTCAGCACGCGCTGCAGCTACAGTCAATCAGAAACGCGCTGTTTGCGGACAGAATTAGCCTGTCGTGCAGCGTGCTGCAAACAAATGGAGTTTGTGTGGTCGTAGAACGAAGCCATGTCAAGGCTGACATTCTTCTAGTTTGGATATTGAAATGTGTTTGGACGGCATGTCTCAAACGACCCAAGCCAGTAGCATTATTGACTGAAAGACACCAACCAATGGCTGACCTTTTGAAATAGCCTTCTGATTGAAAGGAATGACGTTACAGCGCAAATGACTTGACTGACAGAGCACAGATAAATGACAACTGTAGGTGCGCTGCGTTTCATGCGTCATGCGTTCTTGGATTTGGGGCGAAGATGAGGGTATGTTTAAATAGGCATTTTCCAGTCGAACTCGAGCCTGCCTTGCTACGAAACACATCGTATATAATTATTTAGGATTCAATTTATTGACAAAACGATAACATTCGCAAAAACAAAGAGAAGAAGAGACACACAGCACACTTGTCAGCAGAGAAGCCATCAATAGCCGCGATTTCGACGGCTCCCGTAGTCAGTAGGCCAGTCGGTAGTGTCATGCAGGGGCCGTCGCGATAGTCGTGCCGTGCTCTTGCTCTCAACGACGCGAAACCACCATCACACTCGCGCCTCCCGTCGCCGTCGGGAGACAGAAATCACGAAGCCGCCGGTGCGTGTCTTGCGGCACAGTATACCTTCAGGCGCCGACTACTAGTGCCATCTAGGAGCAGTGAGAAGTACTTCGTTTGCGTTGAAGTCACTCTGTGCGGACAGCGTCCGAGTCGACTCGACCGCGTCGCCTCGAGTGTTAGAACTGCAATGCTTCCGTGAAATATAAGCTCATTAAAGTTAATTGCTAACGGTTATGGAAGGACAGAACATAAGTGACGCGACCGCCTATTTTCCCATTATTGGATCCATACCTAGGCGGCGGAACGGGGGTGGGGCGGGCGGGCACCGGGGCACCGTGCCCCCTTTGATTTTGGCATTTTAACATTTGCCCTATGGGTGTTGCATGGAAACAATGGGACCAAAAGTCGGCAGTGCCCCCCCCCCCCCTAATTGAAGGTGTTCCGCCGCCACTGATTGGATCAAAAGAAACGGTATTGGATGTTACTTGGGAACATACCTGACAGCCGCAACGCAACGTTTAGCACTCAGCATTGAGCAGCGACTTAAAAATTTTGATGTCCGGCTCATGACTGCAGAATTTGGCGTCGCCTGGTGATTTCAGCTTCAGGCCAAATTCATCAAACGGAGCAACAAACAGCTGACAGGCCAGTGTCGTGTAGCTGACGGCACATTCAGAGCTCTCGGTGGTAGTCGTGGAGGAAGTGCTTGCAGAAGTGGTTGACGTGCTGTCGGCGGCGGCCGGAGCCGACGTTCCAGAGCTCCAAGTGTGATCTGCGGCCGAGGTGGGGGTGCCGGTGAAGTGCTCGTCATGGCTGTCGCTGTACTCAGTCGTCGTGGTAGTCGCTGTTGTCGTCGTCGTTTCCACTGCCGTCGTTTCGATGGGGTAGATCAGCACGCTGGCGCAGCGGTCGTCCGCCAGGCAGCGCAGGACGCAGGTACACTCGAGCTCGGCGGTGGTGTTGGCCAGGCTGTATTCCCAGCTGGGATAGTCCTTCGCCTTACGGACGTAGAGCGCCATCGACTCGCTGGTCACGGAGTCGGCGGCAGACGGTGGGCACAGGGCGGTCACCAGCAGCCACAGAACCAGAGGCGGCCACCAACGGGAGACGGGCATGACCGAGCTTGAGCTGCGGACGGCTGCCGCGGGGTTTCTAATCTGATGTCTGCTTTCCTGTTTTCTTTCCTGCTGCTTGTTTCTTCCTGATGTCACACTGTTACCGAACTTGGGCGTCAAATTAATTTCTTGAGCATTTCTTATAAGCAAGTAGGTATCAGAAACGTTACTGGACTTTTTCAGGACCTGAGGACCTCACTGAACGGTGGTGAGCGCCTCACTGACGGTCGTCTTTCTCGTGTCTGATCGTATGGGTATGGGTGGTGGCAGGGAATATAAGACGCCATATCACACCAAATAACCAATGTTACATCAAAGAACAAAAGGATTGGTGACTCATGACTGGCAGGTCAAATGGAGCGGCTGTTTGTCGTTAAATATTGTCAAACCAACTTCGCCAACGAAGATTCAATGAGATTTGCATCATTTTGACAGGACAATCTGGTTTGTGGGTCCGCTCCACGATATCTGTTTACTTCTTTATGATTCTCTGTATTACATACCTACCCTACCTATATTTTAGGACTTATGTACTGTCGTGACTCGTAGCTGTGAGCCTCCGGAGCGGTGACGAGGGCAGAGCGGGCAGAGCCACCTACGTACCAGCGCTCGCACGCACCCGTCACCTAGCGGCCGTTTCCTCAAGCAGCGAGCAGCCGCACATCGGTAGTTCCACAATGCAACAAACATCCTTCTCAAGGGCGCACACAAGGGGGAGGTGCATTCGAGCCCGTGTCCCTCCCATGGGGGGGAGGGGGAAGGCCGCCTCAAATGGTCCTCAAATGGGCCCGTAAACCTTAGTAGACCGCCGAAGACCGTCTAAAATGAGCTGAAATGATGAAAAAACAGGAGGGCCCATCTCGGGCCCCAACAGGCCCACGTGAGTCCATGTAGGGCAACTTTTTCGGCTGGGGACTAGAACCCTTCGGCATGAGGCCCACTTTGCAGATCGTGCTCCCTCCATTCAAAAATCCTGTGTGCGCGCCTGCTCCTTCCCTTCTATAACACTCGGCGAGGGCGCTAAATTGTGTACCGGTCATCAGCGTCACCCGTTCGCTGCGGATACCCGATGTTCGATGGGCATGGTTATGATGAACGACACCTGGCTATCTATACCTTTTTTCTTCATAGGGAAAGGCACCAAGTTGCATAAGTCGACGAAATACTTACTTATTTGGTAGTAAACCAAGCCACAGACCACTTCTGAGACAATCATCAAAATACTCGTTTAGTCCTGCTTTCAACCAATTTGGAGAGGATATGTTTCGTTACTGAAAAAGTCTCATTCCAGTTCCACGAGGGTAGGTAGGTTTTACGGGGTCATATGAAGAGCTGTTTTCACAGGGCCCGTGTCAGCTCCGGAGGAGGATCCACGACTTTACGAGAATAAATATCAGTCACTGAGAGGGTTCCCAACAAGTTTTTCGTCTATATGGGACTGTGAAGCCAGCACAGCCACCTGCGGCCGTGAGTGAAGCCCTACTCCATCTGCCGCTGCTAGCAAGCCGAGATATGAAAGGTCATCGAGCTGATAAAAACAATTAAGTACAATCAAGTAATTGCTTGGTTTGAGACACTGGTGTATGTAGCAATGCTCGACACAATTGCCGTTGTGACTCTACATACGCCCTGCTCCATCTGCCGCTGCTAGCAAGTCGGGATATGAAAGGTCATCGAGCTGATATAAAAACAAGATTAAGTACAATCGAACAATTGCTTGGCTCGAGACACTGAATTGTGGTGGCCGTCAGCAGATGAAGGGCGTGGGACAGTCGCCCCACGTCGCTGCCTGTGCGCTTGGGGTGGGGTGGGACCATCGTGTAGCACATGATACCAAATACCTACTGTATAGTGCATGCATAATCCAATAGTTAGGGTCTAGCGAAATGCATTGCTCTCAAACAAATACCTATTATATTTTGTTTGAACAGATGCAAGCAACCTTTCAATCAATTTCTTTACAATGAACGCAGGGGCGTCGCCACGGATTTTTGAGTGGGGGGGTCGGGTTTCCGGTCTTCGTCTTGATGGGTAGGGGTGTTTTTTGCCACACTCCCGGTTTTTTTGTGTGCCCGGAGAAAGACCTCGGCGCGCCGCGCCGCGAAAGCAGCGGTATATCTTATTGTACATCAATTTTGCATCGTGCATAAAAATCAAGCACAGGTCACCTGAGGTCAGGTCACGATGTCATGTCAAGTTCAGTTTTAATCCCTCTTAAAACTGCAATCTTGTCATTCCTATAGATTATTTCCTGACTCCTATAAGTCTGAAATTTGGTGTAATGAATGGGATTGTAAGTGCCAACAGTTCATGGATCTGGGATTTTACATCTGAGAAGTGAAGTCAGGTCAAATAGGTATGTGACCTCACCAATCATGATAAGATATGGGAAAAAGCACGATGCCTTCTGCTTTGAAAGAATATGCTAAAAACGCTAGATACTTTTGTAGCCATGGCACCTTGTTCATTTTAGAGACAAGGTGCAGCTAATGACTAGTGGTGACTGGAATGGTCAGTGATTAGGTCATCAAAGGTCTCTAACACATTTTCGACAACTTTTAATGGAGACGTTGTAGAGCGATGACAGCACCTGGAGTGTGCTCAGCTCAGCAACACAGATCGATCCATATGCAGCAGGTTCTTTTCTAGTCAGGTCATGACCTTTGCCTGATGTCAAGTTTTCTATTCGAGTTTAAATTGTAAGCCATGCGACGTGTTTCGACGAAACAAAAACGATGGTGATAACATGAATATCATACACATTCACTGAATCATAGGTTGTTACATAACAAATGTTTCGGCAAAATCCGTCCGTTTAGCTGTTTGGACTCTATGGTACACAAGTCATAGACCCGAAGTCATATCTGAGGCGAAGTTGGCGAAAGAGCTTTAAAAAAGCTATCGAATACGCTGTGTTGCTGTAGGCTAGCTCTTATTCGTATTTTACGGGTCGCTA